GGGACAACTCCTCCGTCCCGCGGCAGAGTAAGATCACAGCTGGACTAAGGGGTGGGGGGACAGTCCCTAGGATCAGGCCTGCCACCCCGACCCTATTGCTGATTGTTACACCAAGTCTCTGTCATCCCCCCCACCTCCTGGGCTCACTCTCTTTGCAGGGTTGAGGGGTGACCGTTGGCAAAGCAACAACAGGTGCTTCCACCATCCTCAGGTGCCCTAAGCACCTGTGGCCAGGAGCATGGGGTCTAATCACCCCCCAGAAGGAGAAAGCGGCTCTTCCAACTCGGGGCAAAGCCTCCCATGCAGGACAAGTCACCTGTCCTCTGACCAGGTCCTGGGGCTCCCTGTGGGGAGAAGGGCCAGCCTCGCAGGCTGACAGGCGCAGAGCACACAGGTGTGTTGCTGTGAGGGCCGCTGTTTCCCCAGGTGGGCGGGCAAGGGGAGGGCCGGGCAGGGGCAGAGAGTACCAGCCCCTTCCCTCACGGCCTGGGCCCTGGGCCCACCTCCAGCTGGCTCACGGGAGCTCTGGCTGCCCCCGCACTCCAGGAGATCCGAGGTGCTCCTCCATCTGCAACATGCGTGTGCTGGGAGGAGTCCCGGCTCTGAAGCCATGAGCTTGGGTTCAAATCCCAGCTTCTCCACTTGCTAACTGCACAGCCCTTGTCATGTTGCTCAAGCCATCAAGTCTCAGTGTCCTATGAACGTGGGGAGGAGACCTGAGGGCCTTGTGGGGGGCAGAGTTGTCCAAAGAGAACACGTGTCACGTCGCCAGCACAGGCCTGGCACAGAGGACAGGCTGGGAGGCAAGTGCGGGGATGTCACGGAGGAGAAGGGGTGAGCTTACCCTCCCACCGCCCCAGTCAGCAGCATTTTCCCCCAGTTCCCACTCAGTCTTCCTCCTGTAGGGCCAACAGGGCAGGCTGGATTTCAGAGGAGAAGCCAAGCCCAGAATGGTGATGACCCACAGCCACCCCATGGTGACACGGACGCCACAGTGGCCTGGCCTGCCCTCCTGGCCGGCGGGGACCCCAGCTCGGGCTGATCCCAGAGCCTGGCCCTGAGGCCTGTCGGTGAGCCCAGCACAGAGGAGAGCCAGGGTGGGTACTGCTCCACCCTTTCCAGAAACCAGGCTGCGGTGTCAGCAGCTTGCACCTGGGAGCAAGTTCTGCTCATCTCCATCCAGGCAGTGGCACGGACCTGGGACAGCCAAGGGACAGTCAGCAGCAGCAGCAGGCTCTTGTCACCCCGGTCCCCAGTGGTCTGGGCACGGAGAAGGCCTGACCCTGGAACACAGAGGGAAGAGAAGCCTCCGGGGGCTCCGTGAAAGGCCACAGACAAGGAGCCAGCTAGGACCCACATCAGCCACTCAGCTTGCCCACACCTTGAGCCCTTGGAAGGGGCTGGCAACGGGCTACGACCAAAACGGCAGCGCCGGCGGCCCACATGCGCTAGCCCGTTGCCAGCCACTATCTCACTAAGCGGCCTGACAACACGCAGGGGGCTCAGGCACCAGGAGGGGAGTCACTCGCCAAGGCCACAGAGCTGGGAAGCGCAGGACCCGAGTTTGACGGGAGAAAGTGAGGCTGTGGGTTCGGAGCCTGGGGTCCCCAGCTGGAGGAGCTGGTCCCCAGGCCAGCAGCCCCTGGAGACCCATCAGCCTCTCTTGGCTTTTCCTCCTCAGAAGCGGGTTTCTCGTGTGAATGCCTTTCATGATTTGAGTTTGTTTACAGAGAAAATCTGATGGCAGGAGGATGGCGGGGGGCAGGGGCGTCTCTCTCTCTCTGACCCAGGGCAGAGCTTGGAGGACGTTTGCCCTGAGATCCGAGATCTGCCAGGTGACAGGTGTGCCCAAAGCAGGGGGAGGTGGGAGCCTCGTGGAGACGGTGGTGCTTGGGGCTTTGCCGGGAACGGTGCAGGGGGCATCAGGGGTCCCGGGCACGCCACCCTGCTGCAGCCTCACCAGCTCCCTGGGCTCAGGGGGCCCAGCCAACTCTTGGCCATCCTCTCACCCTCAGCGTTTGGTTCAGCTCCCGCTGCATGGTGTCTCTGTGCACGAGGGTGACAGCGTCGTGAATGAACCAGGGGGCACATGTGCACGCCCTGCTGCCCCACGCCCCTCCCATGTGAGTCCATCGCCGTGTGCTTCAGGGCACACCCCCGTGGTCCCTCCGTTCCCTAGGAATGACCGGGGAGGGGTCCCATCTGGAGGCAGCCCTCGAGTCACCCCGTAGCGTTCTTGCCCAGGTGCCATGACAGGGACCTAGACGGGGCGCCACGGAGCCAGAGCACGGCAAGTGCTGGGTGTGGACGGTGTGCAGGGCACTCACAGGGTCTTCCCTGAACACCGAGTGACTTCAGGACAAAAGAGATAAGTGGGACCTGGCGTCAGGGGCCCTAGGAGCAAGTCAGCAAGGCCACCTCCGCACCCTGCTCAGGGTAGGGTCATTGACGGAGAGACCACACCGACTAGGGTGGAGGGATGATCACGAGGACCCTGCTGGGAAAGGAGGTGCAGGGAGCAGGGCCCGGGACTGCAGCGTCATCCCCTCCTGCCAGAGGCAGGGACAGAGGACATGGAGCCCCCATGGGGATTTGGCGGTTGGAAAATTCTGGAGTGCTGGATCCAACGCCCCTCTCGCGGGTAGCAGGGTGGGTGGGGCTACCGTGCATCTCCCAGAGACGACAGTGGGAGCCCTCTCTGGGCGTGAGACCCAGCCTCCCGCCTCCTGCGTCTGAGGCCCTTCCAGAGGCCCTTCTGCTCCCCACCAGAAGCCCCTGGATCTGGGATGACAGGGCTCTTCACGCACAGCGGGCCGGTGCTCCCTCTAGGGTTCCGTCTGTGCTGTTCCCTCTTTCCATCCCCAATCCCTGTCCTTGACCTTCTGCTCATCCTCGGAGACTCGGTGGAGAACGCTTTTCCTCCAGAAAGCCCTCCTGCCCTCCAGTGCCGGGTGGGGTGGCTCCTGTCTGTGCTGCCCCAGCACCCCCGCCCTGCCTGCTGTGACTCAGAGCTGGAGTCTTCTGTTTGCTGCTTCTCTCCCACTGGGCTGTGAGTCCCACGAGGGCAGGCACGTGCCTGTTCAAGTCACAGCATCACCTACACCTGACACAGCACCTAGCACATATGAGGTGCTCAGGAGACATGAACAGATGGACAGATGGACGGGTGGACAGATGGATGGACGGATGGGTGGATGGATGGGTGGGTGGATGGATGGAGGGATGATAGATGGAAGGATGGATGGATGGATGGATCAATAGATGGATGGATGAATGGAGAGATGGATGGATGGATGGATGGTTGGGTGGATGGAAGGATGGATGGATGGGGAGGAGGGAGGATGATAGATGGAAGGATGGATGGATGGATGGATGGATCAATGGATGGATGAATGGAGAGATGGATGGATGGATGCATAGATGGATGGATGGATAGATGGAAGGTTGGATGGATGGATGGACAGAAGGATGGATGGATAGATGGATGGAGGGACAGATGGATAGATGGGACAGATGGATAGATGGATGGATGGAGGGACGGATGGATAGATAGACGGATGGATGGATGGATGGATGGATGGATGGATGGACAGACGGGTGGATGGATGGATGGATGGACGGATGGATGGATAGATGGATGGAGGGATGGATGGATGGATGGATGGATGGAGAGACAGAAGGATGGATGGATAGATGGATGGAGGGACGGATGGATGGATGGACGGATAGACAGATGGATGGATGGATGGATGGATGGATGGATGGATGGATGGATAGATGGATGGAGGGATGGATGGATGGGCAGATGGATGGATGGACAGACAAGTGGATGGATGGATGGAAAGATGGACAGACAGAAGGATGGATGAAGGGATGGACGGATGGGTGGATAGATGGTGGATGGACAGATGGATGGATGGACGGACGGATGGATGGATGGATAGGAAAGGAGGCCAAGACCCCAGGCTAAGCCCCTGCTCACTGCCCAGAGGCCATACCCCTTTCATCTCTGTGTCTCGGCATCTATCACCGCGCTTGGCCCGTGGTGCGGGGGAAGGGGGTCTCTACTGTCTCTTGAGAGCCGGGGGACGGTGCCTGCGGGCACAGACACCAGGGACACTGTGGAGCTAGAAGTAGAAGTGTGGGTGCAGTTACAGGAGAGCCCGGGGTGCCCAGAGTAAGGAGAAATGAATCACTGTGTGTGGAAGCGCGTGGGAAGCCTTCCCAGGGACCGCGGGGCTCCCTTTGGTGGATGACAAGTGGAGAACCGAGGGAAGGCCTTGCAGGCAGAGGGAGCAGCTGCAGCAGAGGCGTGGGGGCGCCGCATTCAGGGCTTCCCCTAGGGAGCTGTTGAGCCGGGTGCTCTCCCATCTCACGTGGTTCCCCTTCTGCCAACGGGGCCCAAGGCCGCCACGCCGTCTTCCGCTCAAGGAGCCCGTGGTCCCTGGTTCGTGCGCACGCCCCAGAGGACGCGCAAGTGGCGGGAGGGGAGAAAGCCGAGGCACTCGGACCAGCCCACGCCTCTCAGCAGCTCAGCTCGGCCTGAAGGGCCACCTGACGACCCCGGCCCTCCTTCCCCCGGACGCCTGCTTCCTAGGCCCGGGCCAGGAAGAGAAAGAAAACAGGCCCATCCAAGAAGGCCTCCGTTGTTCCCAAGGAGTGACTCACACGGGAACCCTTGTCCTGACGCTCAGGACACTCGACAAGTCCCCCGGGGCCTCGCGGTGACTCACGGCAGCCCCGGCACAAGGCCTCCTGCTGGGTGTGAGGCCCAGGCCCTGGGTGAGCCCGCGCATTCGGCGCCAGCGCCCTCTTGCCTCCCAAGCAGGTGGACGGGGCTCCTTTGAGTTTGGCAGTTACCAGCGGCCCGTGTCCCCGAGGGGCGTGTGTCCCCGAGGGGCCCGAGTCCCTGAGGGGCTGCTCTCGGCCCTGACTCCCTGTGAGACAGGCTCTCACCTGAGCTTCCCTCCCTCTGAAGAGTTGCTGACAGAAAAGGCACGCAGTGTGTGTTGGCTTTTATTATGGGCATGCGTGGCACGTGGGGTGCATGCGTGGTACTTGGGGTGCATGCGTGGGCACGTGGGGGGACAGGCGCACAGCAGCTTCCGGCCGGGCCAGCTCCTGGTTTCCAGACACCAGCCTGCCTGGATGGATGGATGGATGGATGGACGGGGGCCCCGGGACTGGGGGCGAGCGGGACGGGGCGCCGGCGAGGATCTTTGGTCAAGGCAACTGCTGCCCCTACTTCCAGCGCCCGGTGACCTTGGCCTTCCCGCGGGTCTTGGAGCTGCCAGAGAAGCGGGGCGCCGTCAGAAGCGGGACACAGGCCGGGGCAGCAGGTCTCCACAGGGAGGGGGCGCAGGTGGCCGACGGGGAGGGTCGACAGGGCGGCCTGGAGCTGCCTCCAAGCCTTGGGCTGGGGTGAGTCCCCACGGGCCCTGCACCCCGTCCCCCGCGGAGCAGTGACCCCGGGGGAGCCCAAGGAGGAAGCAGCCTGTGCCCTGAAGCGGAGGAGGCAGGGGTGGGAGCCGGAGCCCTCAGAGGAGGAGACGGTTAGGACCCGGGGCAGGAGGAGGCAGGCCGGGCTGGAGGAAGGACCTAGAAACTTACACTTTCTGGTTATCATTGATTCTGTTCCGGAGAACATTGATCTGTAAGTGAGAAAGACAGAGTAACCTCGGAGCTCAGGGACTCAGGTCCCAGGTGGCTGGGGATGAGGGGCAGGCTGGCTTAGCACAGCTGTGGAGGAGGAAGGGGGGGGGAGGAGGAGGAGGAAAGATGAGGGACTGGGTAGGAGAGGGAGGAGGGGAGGGGCCCGAGCAGCAGCCCTGTGAGATCCAGAGGGCCCCGGGGCCACGAGCAGAAGCCAGGCAGAGGCTTCCCGGCCACACCACGGGGCTGTCGCTGTGGGGTCCCAGAGCCACAAAGGGCTCGGGACAGGGTGGCACAAAGAGGCCTGAGCCCCCGTGCAAGGCCCAGCCGGGGCTCAGGAAGCCCCCAGGCAGCCGCAGCCCCCAGGGCCCCAGCCGTCCCCGCCCTGGACCCGAGGGGAGGAGGGAGGCCCGGGCCTGGGGGCTGGGGAGCAGCTAACACCTCCTGCGCCCGCGGGGTGCCCGGCACCCTCTGTTCCGTCATGACCACTCTTCCCAACTGTTCACCCGCAGGATTATCACGAGGTATGACCTCATCCACGCGAAAGCGCTCCAAGGGGCCTCGGCAGAGCCATCACTGCGACTGTCACCATTACCCTCCCGGCCCCCCCAACCCTCACCGTGGCCTGCGGGCATCCTCGTCGTTTCGATGGGAAACGGAAACGAGGAGAGCTAAGTGACTGGCCCGGGTCACGTGGGTGAGGGCCGAGCCACAGACCCGGCAGTGCAGCCACCATGTGCACGCTCCCGTCACCACATGGGGACATCCGTGCGGCCGCGAGAACCTGAGCGGTGCCCGGAGGAGGGACCCTGCGCGGGAGGTGCCCAAGGCAGCCCCCAAGGGGAAGCTGCGCTCCTGGGGCCAACGGGCCTGTGGGGACCCGCGCCGCCCAGCCGACTCCAGCCTGCTGCTGGGACACCTGGGACCCCTCGGCGGGCTGGGTGCACCCCAGGGCCTCGGAGTCCGTGGGGACGGGAGACGCGGCTGCCGGGGCGGGGGGCCTCCTCTGCACCCGGAGCTCTGCTCTGTGCACCCGGCTCCCCCCGTCTGTCTGGGCGGCTGCCTGGAGGCCTCAGGAAGGAGGGGAGGGGTCCCCCTAGGGCAGGCCCCCCCAACATGGGTCTTTGCTCCGGCCCCGCCAGTGAACCATCAGAGCTCCGCAGCGAGCAGTGGCCGGTGGTGGACCCTGAGCACCATCAGGGACGAGACCCCGAGTGCGGGGTGACAGGGTCAGGGAAGGGGCCTGACTGGCAGCGCCGAGGGGACCCACCGACCCAGGAGGGGCGTGGTGGGGTCAGGGTTGGGGGGGAGCAGCTCACTTCGTATTTCTGCTGCTTGAACTTCTCCTGCAGGTCGAACTTCTCGGCCTCCAGGTTGTAGATGCTCTGCCACAGTTCCTTGGCCTTCTCCCTGCGCAGCGGAGCGGGGCGGGGTGGGGGCCCTAAGGGGGGGGCCTTCCTCCCGAAGGGCCCCGGGCCTCAGAGGCCCCAGCCCTCCTGCACCCCAGGCCGGCATAGGTCCCCAGCCCACCTGCTCAGCGTGGGGCCCAGATGGCAGTGCCCAGGGCTTGGGGAGACAACCAGGGGCCGGAGGACTGAGGTCTGGGGAGGGGCAAGGCCCTGCAGCACCGCAGACCACAGTCCGATCCCCGTGTCCCCCCCCACCCCCAAAGGGCGGCTACTCAGTGCTCCCTCCCTGTTGGCCAAGCAGACCCGGCTTGACCTGCACAGGCCCAGCTCCCGTCCACCAGGCCGGTCTTTGGGAAAATACGTGGTGTGACCGCGCCCCCTGGAGGTGTGTGGTGAGAATGCACCCCTGCCCTCCCCTCCCGCTTCCCCTCTGCTCCCCCCTCCCTTCTGCCCCCTGTCCTCCCCCCACCCTTCCCTCAGCCACCCTGCCCCCCTCTGCTCCCTGCCCTCCCCTCTGCTCCCCTACCCTCCACCACCCTCCCCTCTGCCCCCCTGCCCTCCCCTCTGCTCCCCTTCCCTCCCACCTGCCCTCCCCTCTGCTCCCCTGCCTTCCCTCCTGCCCTCCCCTCTCCTCCACCACCCTCCCCTCCACCACCCTCCCCTCCACCACCCCGCCCTCCCCTCACAGATGCTGCCCCTGCACCCTCAGTCCCCACCTCAGCTGGTCCTCGTTCAGGTGGTCGATGGCCAGCACCTTCCTCCTCTCAGCCAGAATCTTCTTCTTCTTTTCCCGCTCCGTCTGCCTCTTCCCACTTTTCCGCTCGGTCTGGAGAGGGTGGTGAGCAGGGGGGGGGGGTTGGCTAGAGAACACCTCCTCCCTCCCCGCGCCCCTCCCAAACCCCAATAGGGAGTAGGGCAAGGCCTGCAGCAGGACCAGGCCCTTATCCTCTTCCTCCTGAAACACCCACATGCCACCAACTGCCTGGATTTCCCAGAGAAACTGAGGCAGGGGCAAGGAGGGCCGGTTCAGTCCCTTACTCCTTGGCGGCTCCCTCCTCCTCCCACTAGCCCACTGTCCACGCTCCTCCCCCCGCCGGGCCCCTCCCACCCAGGGAGCCCCCAGAGCCACGAGGAGGAAGAGGGTTAGAGGTTTCTGTACCCACCTGGGCCTGCAGAGCCAGGACACCATGAGAGAAAGACCCAGAGAGAAAGAAGGAGACCCGGACAGAGACACAGAGGGAGGGCAGGGCCCGGGGCCGAAGGCAAAGGCAGGAGACACAGGGGGAGAAGGAGAAGGCGATTCAGACCCCGCGGTGGCAGGAGGCGCTGCCTGGAGAGCGGGCAGGCCCGGGGCGGGCCCGGGCGGCTGGAGGGCCCCGGGGGAGGGGGGCCGCTCTGAGCTGGGGACCTGGGAGGCCTAAGGAACCGTCCCGGTGGCTCCACTGCCTGGAGAAAACCCATCTGGTAGCTCCTGTCCCCCCTTGAGAACGGGGTACCAGCGGGAGGGGGCACGAGCGCGTGTGTAGGAGCAAAGCCTCTGTGGGTGCTCGGGCGCTCGGGCGCTCGCATGACCTCGGCGCAGGTGGGCGGGCCTCGCACCTGTCTCCAGGTGAGCGGGCTGGGCTCTGAGCAGCCTGAGGCCACGGCCAGCCGGAAGGGGCACATCCGGGGCTCCCACCAGGGCCCTGATCCTAGCCCCCCGGGGCCCCGGGCACGGCTGACATGAGGTCGGGGCCTCTACCTACAGCCCCACCGCCAGCAGCCCCTCCTGGGGAAGGCCCAGGCAGGAGGAGGAGGACGCTTGGGTCTCACATGGTGGGGACCCAGCTCGAGGGCGGCGGACACCCCGCCCCTCCCACTCCAGCGCCCTGAAGCCAGCTCCTCCCGGCCCACCTTCTGGATGTAGCCCCCAAAGTGCATCATGTTGGACAACGCCTTCTTCTTCCGGGCCTCGTCCTCCGCCTTCCTCCTGTTCTCCTCCTCCTCTCGTCGGGCTCTCTCCTCCTGGTTAGCAGGGGGAGCAGGAGCACAGATCAGGGGTGGAGGCACAAACCCCCGCGCGGGCTGAAGGCTGGGGTCCCCGCGGTCCCACGAGTGGAGCTTTCTCTCCACCAGGCAAGAAGCCCCCGCACGGACCCCCCAGCACAGGGCCTGGCACCAGGGAGGGGGTTCCCCAAGTGAGGGTCACGTGCTCCCGTCAGGCAGGGAGCCCCCGAGGGGGCCTGTTGCTCTGGGGGCACAAGGAGGGGAACTTCCACTCCTGCGGAGTCAGCACGGGGCCCAGAGGCACCCGAGACACCAGCCGTCCCATAGCGAGTTTGTGCCTTTCAGCCCTGTGGCTCACCTGGCCCCCCCACCCTGTGGCTCACCTGGCCCCCCCACCCTGTGGCTCACCTGGCCCCCATCCGTAGCTCACCTGGCCCATCTGGCTCACCTGGCCCCCCATCCTGTAGCTCACCTGGCCCCACCCTGTGGCTCACTTTGCTCCCCACCCTGTGGCTCACCTGGCCCCCCTCACTCTGTGGCTCACCTGGCCCCCCCACTCCTGCCTCTGGCGACTACCAATGTGTTCTCTGCATCCACGAGCTTGCTTTGGTTTTCATTTTTGTTTCGTTTTAGATTCCATATATATGTGAAATCACGCGGGGGCGCCCGGGGCGGGGGGGCTCAGCGCGTTGAGCGTCTGCCCTCAGCTCAGGTCATGATCCTGGGTCCTGGGGTCCAGCCCACGTCGGGCTCCCCGCTCAGTGAAGGGTCCGCTTCTCCCTCTCCTGCTCCCTCTGCTCCTCCCACCGCCTGCCTTGCTCATGCTTGCACAAGCTCACTCCGTCTCAGATAAACACATAGAATCTTTAACAAAAAATAAAGTGGGTGAAATCCTACGGTACTTGCCCTTCACTGTCCGGCTTATTCCACTTAGCGTAACACCCACCCGTGGTCCAACCACGTTCTCACAAATAGCAAGGGTTCCTTCTGGTTTCATGGCCGAGTAATATTCCTGTGTCCGTGTGTATGTGTCGGTGTACATGTGTGTCCGTGTGCGTGTGTCCGTGTGTCCGTGTGTCCGTGTGCGTGTGTCCGTGTGTCCGTGTGCATGTGTCCGTGTGTCCGTGTGTGTGTGCATGTGTCCGTGTGTCCGTGTGTGTGTGCGCACTTTCTTTATCCCCTCCTCCGTCGCTGGACACATGGGTTGCCTTCAGGTCTTTGCTCCCGTGAATAAGGCTACAATGACCGGGGTGCAGATGTGTTGCTGCTGGGGGTTTCGTGTTCGGGTGAACACCCAGAAGTGGAACTGCTGGACGGAGAGTCTCATAAAATTCTGGGTTCGGGAGGCCCCGACGTTTGTGCCTTGCCGGCCGCTTATCGCCAGAACCCAGACAAGGCGCAGCACTCACCGGGGGCTCGCTGACCGGACCAGGGCGTGTGAAGGCAGAGGGGGCGGGGGCTGGAAGGCGCTGGCAGCAGGGTGGGGGGCTCGGTGGGCCCTGCACTAGGGTCACTCACAGCCAGGCGAGTCTGACGCTCCTTCTCCCGCTCGTTCCGGATGCGCTGCTGCTCGGCCCGCTCGGCCCGCCGCTTCTCCTACGGGGGAGAGGCCAAGCCTGCCCAGGGCGCGCACAGGCCGAGGAGTCAGCAGAGGTGCAGGGACCGCCCAGGGGACAGGCGGCCTGAGAACCCTCACGGGATCCCCCGCCCCCCGAGCCTCAGGGCAAGGAATGCCCTTCCTCCAAGGGCTTCGGCCCGCCAGCTGCACGCACGCAGACAGTCGGGCCGACAGGTGGGCCAGCTCCCGGGGCCCGGCTAAATAAAGATGGGCCGACACCGAACAGCACTCGTCATGGGGCTGTCCTCAACCACTCGAAAAATGCCAGGCGGCTCGTCCCGTCTCCCCGAGGGCTGTGCCCCGGCCCCCGCCCGGCCCTGGCAGCTGCTCTGTGTCCCCCGACAGGTGGCCAAATCCTCAGCTGCCAGCCAGCGCCGCGCAGCCAGTTTGGTGGAGGGGAAAACAAAGCAAACCAGATGACCTCCCTCCCCCAGCAGGATTCGGGATCGCAGAGGCCACAGCTTCACCCGTCACCCCGGGTCGGTGCGGGAGCTGCACCCAGGGGGAGGCAGGCGGGGGCGGGGGCGCAGCTGGAGCCCAGGCCACCCAGACCGTCCAGGGGGTGGGGAGTGAGCAGGGCCCCAGGAGGTGCGGGCCGGGGGCTCCTGGGCACCCGGGCCCTGATGGAGAGCCCACCCCGGGCGGGGAAGGGGCCCCAGGGAGGGCTGCCCGGGCACGGGGTCCTCTGGGGGCGATTCCACGGGAGGCTGGACACCCACAATCCTGTCTTTGAGTGAAATCAGCTCCTCCTCCTCTTTCTTCCTGTTCTCAAAGTGAGCCTCGATCAGCGTCTGCAGTTCGTTCAGGTCCTTCTCCATGCGCTTCCGGTGGATGTCCTGCGGACGCACGGCGGGCTCAGAGGCCCCCAAGGGCCGGGGAAGCGGCTGCGGGGTGCCCCCTCCGCAGCAGACGGGACGGGCAGGCTGGACGCCCGGCCAGCAGGGGCCATGGTGGCCTGGGCCCAGGAGGAGGCCCAGTGGGGGTGCTGAGCACCTCCCCACCTGCCATGCCCCCACCCTGGGCTCCCAGGTCACAGGGTGTCTCCCTCGGGCCCCCTGCAAGCACTCCCAGCCCAGGCCCGCTCTCCCCACAGGCACACTCACGTCAAAGTCTACTCTCTCTCCATCTGGGATCTTGGGTGGCACCAGGTTGGGCATGAATGGCCTGTGGGACAGAAGAGGAGGGAACCGGGGAATGTCCCCCAAACCCCGGCCTCTTGGGACCACGGGTGCTCAGGGCAGCGGGGCCCCTCTCCTTCCTGCAGAGGCACGGCCACCGCGGTGCTAACACCCCGTGTCAGGTCTCACAGCCGGGACACCGAGCTCTGTCCCAGGTGCCCCCCTCCATCGTCCCCGTGCACCCACGACGTAGGCAGCGCCAGCCTGTCCACCAGGACGGAGGCTCAACGGCACACGCGGCTGACCCCACGGCGTCTCCCGACGAGCCCGGAGGCCTGTGCTGTGGTCCCCGCCCCAACGCATGCTTGCCGGGTGGCACCTGGTCCAGTGGGGCCGGGCCTCAGTTTCCCCATTCACCCTCAGGTCTATGCAGGGCTGGACTGAGATACCGCAGCGTCCATCGCCAGGAAAGCAGATGGCGCTGGACGGATGAGCGGACCTGGGGCTGTGTCTGGGGCTGTTTCCGGGGGACCCACGGCCATGGGGCGAGGCCCACCCGTGTGGGCTGGGACAGGTTGAGCACCGCCCCAGGGGAGGCGCCTGCGGGTCCAGCACCCCAGCCCCCCTGCACCACGCCACCCCGCCCCGACCCCCTGCCACACTTCGAAGCCCCCTAGGCCGCCCAGTTTCATTGCTTGGCTCCCGCAGATCTTCTCTCCTCCCTCAGTTCCCACTTCAGCTACAGAGGAAGGTGTTGCAGCCACGCTGAGGGACGGGGGGGGGGTCTCTGTCCAGGGCCACGACTAGTCTGCCCCCCGTGACGGGGTGCGCAGCTGGCTGTGCAGGCCGGGGCGGACTTCAGCCTCCACCGTCCCTCAGGCAGATTCTTGTGGGTACACACCCCGTACAACCGTACATGGCAGCCTGCGCCTGCTGCACCCCCAGCCCATGCCCACTGTGCCATACTGCCCTCCTGCCCGCCCTGGTCAGCCCTCCTCACTGGCCCTCCGCCCGCAGGGCTTCACAGGTGCGGCCCACTCACCTGGGCTTTGGTTTGGACTCCTCCACTGGGCCATCTGGAGAGGAGAGAAGCCCAAAGCCACGGGGTCAGGAGGCCCCAGGTCTGGCCCCGGCTCTGCCCCCCATGGGCCTCCATTTCCCCATGTGCACAGTGAATTCCTTCCAGCCCCGTGGATCCCTGGCTCCAGGAGTGTCACGAAGGTCACACCCCACACCCCCTGTGCCATAGCAGCTCCCGGGGGGACATCTTGGGGCACAGCGGGGTCCCCACAGGAAGCACACACGCCCAGAGGAAAATGCCCAGCCTTTCCTCGTTCACCAGTTCTGGGCAAGGCAGCTTTGCTTCCCAGGGAGGAGGGCCCCCCCCCGCCCCGTGGCTGCCCCAGGGGGTCCTGGCCCCCCAGGCCCTGCCCAGGTCTCTGCCTCCCCGGTTGCTCCGTGGATCCCTGACCACCAGGGCCCGGACGTGGACGGGCATGATGCCAAGACCCAGTTGCTGCCCCTCCCCTGCAGAGACGGGACCAGGACCCCGGCACCCCATAAAGCCTCCCCCGTGGCAGTGAGCACCGCCCCACTGTGGACGTGCCACAGCCCCCATGTGTCTTGGGGTTTCATCCCAGAGACGCCACGCTTCACAGATGACATTGCCTGAGCTCCAGGAGCCCGGAAGGTGTGGGTCCCCAATCTGGGCAGGACAGTGGTCCCCTCTCCCCGGGGCACCACCCGGGCAACTTCTCTGGAATGAGGGAGACAGGGGTTTGCAGCCCAACACCCAAAACCTGCGAGGTCACCAACTTCTGACCTCGCCCCCCCGAAGGCCTCCTCGCCCACCCCCCCGGAGGGAGTCCTGTGGGCAATCTCCCCCAGAGCTGCTTGCAGGGGTTCCCTTGACATCCCGATACGTCCCTCCTGAGCCTTAAGCCCTCACCTTCGGCCTCTTTAGCCTCACCTTCCTGGCCATCTCCTGCACAGAACAGGAGAAATCAATAAGAGCCTCGTCCTAGGCTCAGGCTCCTGCCCGGAGGCTTCTCCCCACACGGGGCCTAAACCAAAGCGCACCCTGCCGGCTCCTGGGGCCACAGACATGGCCCTGGACCCAAGGGAGCACCCCGACAAGGGTCATGGCCCGGCCCGGGCAGGTGGCGCTGGTGCGCAGGCTGCAGGGCGGGCTCCGGGCGGACGCCCTACGTCCACAGGGGTGCCCTTGGGTGCCCCCGCCGTGCCCCGAGGCACCGTGACAAAGCCCCTCAAGCCCTCACGGCAGGCAGGCCTCACCTTCCGCGTTGGTCTCCTCCGTCTCAGCCTCACCTCCTGCCTCCTCTGCGGCCTCCTCTTCCTGCTCTGGAGGGCGAGCCAGACACCGTGAGTACCCAGGCCCGCACCGGGAGGCAGCCCCCGCCGGGGACCAAGGGCAGGGAGGTCGGCACCTCCCCGATCCGGGTGACTTTTGGGGCCACCGATATGAATGGCACGGGGCTGCTCACTTCCGGGGCTGAACCAGAAGCTGCCAAACTACGGCCCAAGGGCCGAATGTGGCCCCCAGAGTATTTCAGGAAATAAAGTTTTATTGGAACACAGCCGCATCGATAGCCTGCCGGCGGCTGCCTTTGCCCCCTGCAGCAGGTCCAGACATTGCGGCAGATACCGACCGTGTGGCCCGCAAAGCCTAAGACATTTACTATGCGCTCCTTTAGGGGAAATGCTTGCCGACCCTGCTACGCCCCGACGGAAGGGCAGGAGGAGGCTTGGGCAGAGTCCTGCTGTTCCAGACCTGCCTCTGCCGGAGTTTGGGAATTGGAAATGGGGCCTGGAGACCTGTGCTCCCCCTGAAAGCCACTGGGAGGGCTGGAAGCCTGGGGTCGGAGCGTGTTAGGGTGTAGTGGGCGCTGCGGGGAGCGGCAGAGGAGGGCTCGCAGGCCTGGTGAGACCCCGCTGGGGTGGGGACGTCTGGTGGCTCAGCTGCTGCTGCCTGATTTAGCACCTTTCCCCAACAGCCTCCCTGGCAATCACACGACTCCACCCCAGTCCCCCCACCCCACCCCGAATGCTCTACCCAATGATCGGGAGCTACGGGATTTATCGTACTGCTGGAGAAGCGCCTGTCCTGGCTGGACTCAGTAACTCTGGGGACCCTTCATGTGTATGTAAGAGAAACCAAAACAGCAAGACTATGGGTGGGTGGGTAGGTGGGTGGGTGGGTGAGATGCCCACCGTGTAGACATTTGTACTGTCTGGAGAGTCAGTAGGATTTTTCTATTTTCACTCCTCGGCTTGGCAGGATATGGACCCCACCCAAGTCAGGCACTTGAGAAGACAGATAAGACGGGATGACGCCAGGCCCATGGCTCTGCCTGTGGGAGGTGCCTGGTAATGCTCCCTGACTGACGGGCTGACAAGTGGTGGCCTCCTGGCAGAGGGAGGCGAAAAAGCCTCAGGGCTGGAGAGAGAGGGGCCGGCCACCAATCAGCCTGCCTGGTGCTCTGGGTCCCCCGTTCCCACGTGTGGGCCTGGGGGTGCCTCTCTGGGAGAAGGTCCTTCCAGAAGGGGTGAGAGTAGACGGCTGGCAGCAAGAGTATGGCCAGTGTGGGGGTGCTCTTCAGGCCGCCTGATTAACCCCACCCCAGTGCCAATTCTCTGTGCAACGCCCCCCACCCTCCGCGGCTCCCAGGCTCCCCAGACCACCCACCGCAGCTCGAGACATCACTATTAGAAAGCTTTCTAAACCTCAGCCCAAGTGTGTCCCCCTTGCCCTAGTCCCGTCCCCGGGGGCTGGCAAGAGTCCAGGCCCCCCCACGCCCACCGCAGTGCACATGTGAAGGCTGACGTCATGTCCTTTCTGCTCTGGCTATTTCCAGTTCCCCCAGCTGCTCTTCGGATAACTGTGTCGCAGGCCCCTCACGCCCGGCCGCGGCGCCTGGGTGCCGTCCAGCTCAGAGGGAGGGCCCAGTAGGTGCCGCGGGGGCAGAGAGAGGCCACCCGCTCCAGACAGTAGTGCCCCTCTGGGCCACATGCGGACCAGGCTAGGGGATGAGCCAGCCCGGGGCCTTCCCGCCACCCAGCACAGCACAGAGGTCAGGACCCGGGGCAAGGAGCAGCGGCCGGGCCCCTCCGAGGACGGCAGCGAGTGAGGGAGCCGCCCCGCGCCCCTGGCCCCCCGGAACCCCGGCCCGCCCGCCCCGCTCGCCACAGAGCAGGGCCAGGCCCCGGACAGCAGGGAGCAGAAAGCACAGGAAAGGAAAAGCTGTACTACCGTCGTCGTGCTCTCTCCAGTCCTCCTCTTCTGGGGGTCAGGGAGTGGCCGCAGCAGGGGGGAGAAGCGAGACAGGTTAGTCTGGGAGCAGGACAGGGACAGGCGCGGGATGGCGCGTGGCTCCGAGCGTGGGCTTCGGGGTCAAGCTCCAGCTCCAGCGCCCGATGCAACACTCGGAGCCACTTGGGCAATTTGCTTCTCAGCAGCTTCCCGGGCGCCTTGTCCGTAAAACGGACATGACCGTCCTCACTCCCGCGGGTGAGACGACAGGTGATCTCTGGTGCCCGCGGACCCGCGCTCACCCGGCGCGTGGGAAGCGTTCAGTGGCGCTAACGGACCGACTCCTGTGGGCACCCCAAAGGGCACGCTGCCAACGACCCACTGCCCTCAAACTCCTCCCACGCACCCACCGGGAACAAGCCCCCGGAACCCCCCGGGACACGTCCGGTTGCTCAGGACCCAGAGGCCCGCAAGCCCCACGGGAGCGCCTGGCGTGGGCACGTTCCTGTCTGCCTGAAGGAAGTGCCACCTGCGGGGGGGAGGGGGGCGGGGGGGCCAGGACGGAGCTTACAGAAACCACCAGCTCCCTCCTGGAGGAAGAGACACGGCCTGGTCCATCCTGCAGGCTTGGGGTCACCCACTTAGAGCCCGTTCTTGGTCATTAGGGCCACAGGGTCTTACTCCGCGGGAGGCGGGTGGAGTCCATTCACTGCCAGCAAGGCACAGGCTCCGTGGAGCTCGGGACACCGCGCGGCAGAGAACTCATTATTTTGTTAAGTCACGGCCAAATCCTACGGCGCGCGGCAGGCAGGTTAGTCCCAGATCCAAAGGTCTGGATCTCAAGCACCACCCCCTAAAATTCACGAGCTGGCAAGTCCTCAAAGCAAAGGAAAACCCGCCATCTCGAGAGCTCAAGCCGGGAACACAGCGGAAAGTGGAGCCAGCTGGATTTTTGATTCAAAAAATATTTCAAGGGCACCCGGGTGGCTCAGCGGTTGGGCGTCTGCCTTGGGCTCAGGGCGTGACCCCGGGGTCCCCGGATCGAGTCCCACGTCGGGCTCCCTGCAAGGAGCCTGCTTCTCCCTCTGCCTGAGTGTCTGCCTCTCTGTGTATCTGCCATGAATCAGCAAATTTAATCTTTCAAAAAAAAAAATATTTCAACTAGCTTCTGATCTATTTCGTGTTCCTTGACTACCAGAGTGACTCCCGTGGGCCCTCTCGGTTTCCCCTGAGTTTCCCTTGCGTCTACTCTTTGGCCAGGCACCCCGGAACAGCCTCAAAGGTGCGAGAGGCTCCTCGTTTTCCCTGGAAGGCCTGGGGAAGAAGGGGGACGGCTACGGAAGCCCCGGCTCGCTCCCTAGACCCTCGGGGAGCCCCTTCTCCTGGTGCCCACACATGCTTGTGCTACAACAGCCTTTTCTGAGAATTTGCAGAGGCTCCAAGGGGCAGGATGCAACCCGCCTGGGTGCGAAGCCTGAGGGGACTGAGGGCGATTCCGGGCCCCTCCGGGGCTGGGATCTGAATCATTTCCGTGTGTCCAGCCCCCAGGAAGAGAGAGGGTTGGGGTGATCTTTCAGTGGGATACGGGACACAGAGCGAGGGAAGACTCATGAGAGCAGATGTCCCAGAGGGGCGCCTGGGTGGAGCAGTCGGTTAAGGGCCCAACTCTTGGTTTTGGCTCAGATCATGATCTCAGGGGTCATGATCTCAGGGGTCAAGCCCCACATGGGCTCCACGTTCAGTGGGGAATCTGCTTGCCCCTCCCCTCTACCTCCCCCCTCCCCACCTCGTTCTCTTTCTCTCTCTCTCTCTTTCTAAAAGATAAATAAAATCTTTAAAAAAAATGTTTCAGATAACTGAACACGTCCATAATCCCATTTGAAAAGTCATTACCCTGAATGTTTTTAAGTGTGATAACGGTGTTATGGTTGTTTTCCTGTAAATAGCGCTTATCTTTTAGAGATGCGTAGCGAACTACTTAGGCGCTGAAATGCTAGGACGTCTGGGGATGACCTGGGATGTCTGCTCTACAATAAGGGAGGCGAGATGACGCATAGATGAGAGAAGATTGGCCGCAGTGGATGACGGTTGAAGCCCGATGACGGGCGCTTGGGGAAGGGGGGGGGGCTGTGTAATTCTATTTTTGTTATTTTTATGTTGCATTTAAAACTTTCCTCGGTTAAAAAAAAAATTGGAGGGAAAAAAATCAAAAATGATTCATTGGAAAAATTGATGGTTCTGTTTGAACAAAATGGCGGACGGCCGGGACCCAAGCCACCCAGGCTGGCCCTGACTCCCACTGGCGCTGTGGCTGTTGGAGGACCTTGGCTCAGCTGGGGGTGAGGGGCAGGGACAGATCAGCCGCTCTCCCAGGGCCTCCAGGACCCTGGATCCCCCGGGTCTCTCTTTTCTGGCCCTCCCTCTGCCCGGGCTCCTACCTTCCACAGCTTCTTCTGCTCAGGAGAGAAGACCGCGGCCGCAGGAGAGGAGAACACGCGGGTCAGTTTCCAAGCAGGCTGCCCCCATGCAAATGAGTACACAGACGTGTGCTTACCTTCCTGCTCCCTGCGTGCAAGAGGACGCGTTGTCAGTAGCACACCCCCATGCACACCCCACACGCACACCCCACACGCACCACCCCCACATGCACACACACTGGCCTTTTCGAAGAGAAGTTCCCCCTTAATTTCCCTCATTGCCTGATGGAGCCCACCCTCCTTAGGCCCCTACCAAGGCACCCCCTAACGGGCCCGTCCCTAACAAGCCCCCACCTGGTCCCTCCAGCATCAGCCCACTTACCACCCTCTCCCTGCGCTGAGCTTCACCGGCTGCACCCCACAACACCCTTCCCCCACCTTCTCTCTCTATCCACATCCCCGCAGGTAAGCCCGACCATCGCAGCCCCCACTGCCCTCCCCCTCCTTAGAGCTCCCCCACTACCCAGAGCCCACCCTCCAGCCCAGCCCCTCTTGGCCAATTACTTCCAACATTTTGCATCTTAACATCCCAGAGAAGAGCAAATTCCACGAAGGTAGGGACCGTGTATCCTGACACCCCGCATCCTCCCTGGTGAGCATCACCCTCCAGGGGATCATGGTTAGACTGGGTGCCAGTGTCCCGCTCCCGGGGGGGTCCCCCAGCAGAGGCGGTGGACGGGACACTTCAGGAGCAGTGTGATTCCAAGGGGAGTGCAAGCAGTGAGCTCTGATTTGCGTTTTATGGGGCATAATCTGCTGGGTGGCTATGGGACGGTCACTGAACGACTCTGGATCCGGTTTCAGCAAACACAGCTTCTAAGACACTCTGCCTCCTGGTCTCCCAGTCAGGTAGGACCTCACCCAACCCCGTGCCTCCTGGTCTCCTAACCAGGTAGGACCCCAGCCCACCCTGGGAGCTGAGCCTCTCTGCAAATTCTCCCCACTGGGGCCCAGCCCCGGGTCCCCCCAGAGGCACAGAAGCACAGGTCAGACCCCCAGGATGCACAGCCGCCCCGTCCCCGTCCCAGCTCCTGGGGAGACCAAGCCCGCACACAGGGTGCCGCGGATACTCACTCCTCGTACTCTTCCGCCACCTCTTCCAGGTCGGACATGGTCTCCGCTCTCCCTCCAGAAAGAGAAAAATGTCAATGTGGGGGCAGAGGGGGAAGCCCGTCCTCCTCCAGCGCTGGCTGCCTCCCCTGAGGCCTTGGGGGTGTGGAAGGTGAGGTCAAGGGCGGGACAGTAACCCCCACGTCAGCCCGAGGGCAACCGGCCCTTTCCTCGTCCCCCCACAGGCAGCCTGTGTGGCGCCTCCCTGTTCCGGTGCTAATCACTGTAGCTCACAAACAACCTTTCTGTGGTTTCTCTAGAACCTTTCCAGTCCACAACCTTGCCAGGCCCTCAGGGCAGCCCCGAGGCCCCCACCACCACCATCATCACTATCACCACCACCACCACCACCACCATCACCACCACCAGCACCACCACCACCACCATCACCGTCACCACCACCACCAGCACCACCACCACCACCAGCACCAGCACCAGCACCACCACCACCTGCATCACCACCACCACCACCACCACCACCACCACCACCAGCACCAGCACCACCATCACTGCAGAGTCCCCCTGGGAGGCTGCTTTCACAGACTGTGACACATCCATAGCCTGGAATACCTCTCGGCAATGGAAAGGACTAAACCAGTGATAGGCGGGACACCTTGGATGAATCTCCGGGGAGACACTCTCATGGAGGGGAGGAGGCCAATTCGTATGTTTTCATTCACATATAACATTTTTGAAATGGTGAAGTTTCATAGAAATGGAGAACAGACTGGTGCTTGTCGGGTTGTGTGTGGAGGGGAGGGAGGGGAGGTGGGCATGGTGACAGAAGGCACACGGGAGGGGCGCCTGGCTGGCCCAGTCGACGGGGGCCAATTCTGGCCCCACGATGGGTATGGGGAATACTTTAAAACATTCTTTTTTTAAAGGCACACGGGGTTTTTGTGGTTTTAGAACAGCCCGGCGTCTTGAGTGTGGTGATGAACACATGAACCTAACCCACCCGGGATAGAATTTCCCACCCACCCGGTCCCGGTCCGCGTGAGAGTATGGCTTGTAGGAGGGTCCACATCCTAGTTGTGACCTGCACCACCGAGGTGCAGGCACCCGGGGGACGCGGGCAAAGTGCACATGGGGCCCGCGTCATATCTCAGGATTGATCGCGGGTTAAACTCCCCGGGATCAGTACCAATCCCACTTAGGGCCTGGCTGGAGAGCCCCCCCTTAGCTGGGCTGGAGAGTCAGACCCCTCCTCCGGCTTGGTGAGAGCGGCTGCGTCCTGCCTAACACCCTGAACGGCCGGAGCACCTGCCCGCGGCGCCGCGGGGACCTTTATGAGGAGTGGGTTGGCCTGAAGGAAAGTGGAAGACGCTGGGGACGTCAGGCCTTACTGTGCGTCCGGGCGACCGCAGGAAGAAGCCACCGGGGGAGGCGAGACGCACCTGGTTGTGAATCCTGGCTCCAGCTCACATGTGCCGGTGACCTTGGAAAGGTCTTAACCTCCCTCCACCTCTTCTGCGACATGGGCCCTCCCCCGGGGTGGCGGGGAGGCTCGGGCGGACCTCTGATTGATCCGGGTCCTAAACCAGCCCCCCTGGGCCACAGCTGTGCACGGCCCCACGGGCCCCTCTCACCGTGGCTGAATCACGGATGGTGCCCCCCCCCCCGCCCCAGCCGTGCAGCATGAAAGCCGTCGATCTTCCCGCAAAGGGATAAGGTGATGTGAGGCGGGACGATGGCGGAGCAGGAGCCCGGTCGGAGCGGTGGACGTGGCCATCCTCTGGGAGGCTTCTCCTGGCCCCTCCCGCCGTCCCACCAGCATCCAGCACTGCAGCCGCCAACTTCTGATTCAAGCCACAGGTGACAGGGGTGCGGGGGGAGCACCGCTCGCCACCCTCTCCTCCTCCCTGTGCACCTACGGCAGCCGGCACCCCAGGCACCCATCTGGGGGCGTCCAAGGACAGTCGCTACTTGGGTGGGGTGAGGTGACTCTGCGGCAAGGCCGCCGCTTTCAGGCTGAGGGACTCTGAGGGGGGAGCCCCTGCTCGCGACCGGGCCTCTGAGTGGAGCCCTCCCCCGGACCCAGGCCCGGGGCGGCCTCGGGCTGGCTGCTCATCCCAGCCTGCTCCACAGCTGCCCAGTCCTACTGGGTTCGGGACAAGCATGGTGGCAGCGAGGCAGAGCCCCCCAGGCCCCTCCGCCCGGAGCTCACAAGGAGCTCCCCTGGGAGAGGGGAGGGGGACAAGAAGAGAGGCAGGTGTGTAAGGTGTCGTGCCGGAGGACGGAGCCTCATTCTGCCGAAGACAGACCCAAAGCCCGGAGCATCTCCAAATGGGCCTTCGGGTGCGGTGGCCAGATCCGGATGTGCACAGCCCCAGGCCCTCGGGCAGCAGCCAGGACGGGAGCCGGGGGTGGGGGGGTCCCTCACCTCGGGGAGGGCAGAGAAGTGTCTCGGGGGGGCACACATGCCAGTGTGGGGCACGTGCCCCTGCCCTCCCACCAGCTCGGAGCCATGAGGCGTGGCTTGGGGGCCGAGGAAGGACAGAAGGACCAGCAGCTTGGAGCCCCCTCCCTACTCCTGGGAGCACCACCCAACTCCTAAAAATAGCGAGGATGGAGGGCAGGGGAGGGCGCGGATTCACCCGGCTGCCCAAGGCAAGACAGATGAAGGGGCGGCCAGGCTGGGGCTCTGGCTGTGCACCGACTCCATCAGGACCCTCGCAGCGCGAGGACCCACAGCGTCCAGAGCGGCCAGACCCTCACCTGCTTCCACAGGCCGCTGTCCGGCCAAACGCCCGCACGGCCCAGAGGTCAAGGTCACCTTTTCTGGGGACTAAGTCACAAACAAGACAAAGCAGAAAAGACACTGGCCGCGGGGTGAAAAGACCTGGACTTAGGGGCCCCCGGCTGGCTCAGCCCGTAGACCAGGAGACCCCTGATCTCAGGGTCCTGAGCTCAAGCCCTGCATTAGGCATAGAGATTACTTTAAAAAAAAAAACTGATTTTAAAACCCAATTTTTGCTGTGTGACCTTAGCTAAGTCATCTAATCCCTCTGGGCCTCCATTAGCTTATCTCTCAGACCATGAGCTTCAAGTTCTAGTCTTGCAGAAACAAGTCCCTGAGGAATGTGGCCCCGGCCCTCGGCCCTCGCCCTACATCCAGCTG